AACTTTCGCTAAATTAAGCTATTATTCTGCGATCAATTAAATATCAACATAAAAATATTAATTATTATGTATATATATATATATACATATATATATATTTTTTTTTTCTTTAAATATATTCCGTATAAGAATATAATTGTTAGATTGATACGTTTCACAGACATTATTAGGCAGTTGTATCAATACATATACTTAGAATATAAAATAATTAACAAAAAATTCACTCAGAATTAAAACAAAATATTATCATACATCGATTTTTGTTAATATATAAAAAATTGATTTATAATAATATTTTGTTTTAACTAATTCCGAATGAATTTTTTTAGATTGTTTTACATTCCAGATATATGTATTGACATACGACTGTCTAATGGTGAAACGTATCAGTTTTTTTATAATGTTTATGTTCTTACACGGAACATTTAACATATTGATACATATCGTCCTGCATTCCACTCTACAGCGAAAAGGTACGTGACATGCATATATTAAATTAAGTCCTACGGGCATTAGATCGTGATTCTAAGAAAATTAGTGGATTCGTCTCTCTCTTCTAATCTGGAATGCCAGTCAGACATATCTGCAATTACATGGCACATTTTAGTCTCTTGTAATATATATCACAAAATTAATATAATAAAAATTATGTAGAAACTAATAATTTCTTGAAATTGTGTGTTCTAAAATAATTCATAGTTTAAATATATAGCTCTCTGATAAAATTTATGTTTTAAATATAAAGCAAATAAATTTCTTTGAAAGCTTTTTTGACATTTCGACCAAAAATCGCAATACGGTCACCACGTTATAATAGGATTATAATAGAATTATATGAAACGATCTATATTTCACTCATCAATTCGATAAAACATAAAACATCGCAATCACATATGACCTATTTTTTTAAAAGAAAAATTAGTTATTTTTTGCTTACAAAAGGTGCTGCTAATGAAATATTAAAAATTACTATTGTATTGTAAATATGTATATAAACAAAAATGTGTGTCGACAAAAAATTCTAATTTGATCAAAATATTGTTAATTAAAATTTTTGATTCCGTTTAGTAGATATTGTTTTCACATGCAAATAGTTCTCTACGATACTCTGAATTAAAATATACTTAGACAAAAGTGGAATCGCATAATTGAACTAAAGATAAGATTACAGTTAGGGCAATAAACCTAAATTGCGTAATTAAAATCAAGTCAAGTAGTATGATACTTGACGAGGCCATTTAGAAAGTTCGGTGAACGATCGTGCATTCGTTAAAATATATAGCGCCAAAAAATATGTCGATCAACTAATAATAATTTCGCATGATTTAGGTCGTTTCAGCGATTGACATAAACATTGACCCTTGCTAATAAGAGAAAAGTCGTAATTAACGTATCAATGGCAAATTTACATGATAATAGTTGGAAACAATTCCATACAATCTACAGGGTTACAACCATTGTATACTTAACCTTCTTATGCTCTTCATTCATTTTAGTCACACTTGACATAGATTCTTTTCCTTCTTGTTCTCTATAATATAAAATAATAGTTTCTATCGGTGTTAGATATCGCACACACACATACACTGGTAATATTTAATTTTCTTCAATTAAAAAGAATAAAAAGAAAAATTAAATATTCCATTAATATTAATAAGCTTCTATCTGTCTTTGATACAATTTTTAAGTTTTAATAGCCTTAATATATAAGTATGTAACAGTAAATATTGATTTATTTCGAGAATTTTTTTTAGTATTACGCAATTAATACTCCATTTGCCAAAAGGCAAATTTGAGATTAATATATATTAAGTTTCATTAAGATTCAACTAAAATTAATGCATCATCACTAATTGCTAATTAAAGCATTATTTCCAATAATTAAAATTAATCATAGAATATACACTAATCTAACATTTAATATGCTTTATAGAAACAAAAAAAAATCATTTATATTACTTATTATTTTCATTATAAATAATTATACATAATGCTACATATATAAGGTATATATTAATAAGCTGTTAAGCTTCTTGTTACTGATAGATGATTTAATTAGGAGAAAGCAATAATCTCGTAACAAATATGTATTCACATGCTCTAAATACAATTCTATTATTCTAAGGAACGTTCATGAATAAAGAGTTTCTTCACTACCACGATCACAATTAGTTAGCAAGATCATTTAGCGATGTTATCACCTTGAAAGTGAGTTTCTTGTCCCAGAAAACTCCTTTGAGAGAATCAGAGATCTGTTAATTTAAAAATTTAAACAAAAACATTCACACACGGTGATAACAATGCTCATCATTTGTTACAATACTCATAAAATATATGTACAAAAATAATATTATGTGATCGCTAATAATATATTATATAGATATTATATAACAAGATTATGAACTTATATAAACACAAGTTTATCCGTAATCCGTGATTCGTAAGAAAATATATTTACAACAGGTGAAAAATATTAACATGTCATTAATTATTCATCAACTTCTGTATTTAAAAATCTAAAAATGTTAGATGAGACACACGTTGAGATGGTTGTATAATTAAACTTTTGATCATAAATTAAAGCTAATGCAAATACAATTGATAAATCTTATATTACTTTCTCTGCTCGTAATAATATAACATACCATTCAATAATGTATTATACATTTCATAAATTAAATTAATAAATTAATAAATTAAGAACATGTTAAAGTTTGTAACTTTATATCTTGCGATTTTTTATCACATTTCGTTTTCGTTTTTTAATTAATATTAGATCTAGATTATCGCTTCCTTAAAAATGCAATGCTAAAATAATATTCCAGTAGAAAAATGTCTGGAAAAACTGATTTGAAAAACTGACCATTTTTTACTAATTTTAAATTTACTGAACAGTAACTGTCCAATGACTGGGTACAAAATTCTATTAAGATAAAATTCTATTTAAATGGCTAGCTATTAAAACAGTACGTAATTTAATTTTTTAATAGATGGTGCTGTTAAAAAAATGCTGTTAAAAAAACACTTTCTGGACAAAAAATAGTGAGAAAATAGTCAGACTAAACGAATCGGTAAATGATAACTAGTATCAGTAAATGATGTTTAGACAAAAGTTTGAATATTTCAGTTATTATTTTCTGACCAAGAATTAGACAAGATAAACTGATCAGTAAATGATAGCTAGTCTATATTCTGCCAAAACTTACAATACTCTGACTATTATTTTCTGATCAAAAATTAGCCAGGAATTATCAAAAAAAACTCACTAATATGATAGCTAGTCTTTTAATCGCGTTTTCCATTTTTAATTAATATTATATGTTTAAATTATCGCGCTCTTTTAGAAATATAATATCAAAATAATAATATCGCAATGCTAATGAAACGGCAATATTAATAAAAAAATTCTTTTTAAATTAATTTAACGATTTTTTTTAGTTTCCTTCTTTTATAACATTATATCAAATTTTTTTAAATGACTTATCACGCGTGTATCGTTCACATTTTTCCTATAAAATTAATATTTTAAACTAACAATCTTTTTTCAAATTATACATTGTGATATCATTAACAAATATATTCTTATCAATCATAGAAAAATAGGCAAATTTCTCCGTGTGCCACCATCTCGTGGAAAATCCGTCAAACGGAGATATGTGGGTGGCTCGTGCGCGCGCATAACAGTCTTATCGATGAGAGTTGAGCGCGGCAAGAGGCAAAGCAACATAGCCGATGGATCGAACAAGCGGAGCGAAGGGAAGAAACGACACCCAGTATGTGGAAATGAAGAGAGAGAGAGAGAGGAGAACCAGATCGGCTGGACTCTGGAGCGGGTCAGTCGACTGGTAGCTGGGTGAACAGCCTGCCTCGTTGATAGAACGGCACCGTATGCCGTCTCCCTGGAGGCTGCCGAACTCTCAGCAGGTGAGAAGAAAGGGCGACGATTCTCTAACGTTAAGAGGGTGAGGTGGGGAGAAGGTGAATTCAGGTGGGAAAGAGAGGCAGCAGCTAGGTCGTAGCAGGAAAATACAAAGAGATGTCGGAAAGAAAGGAGATAGTGGCGCAGGATAATGCGCCGGATGGGATAGACATCGAAAGACCGTACTGGGATCAGAGCACATATCAAGGAAGGGCATTGCACTTTCTGACAGTGACGAATCCGCTCAATGTCTTTGCTTCGAACCAGCGGCTCGAGCACGCGCGTGATATCGTCACGAAATACAGGTAGTCCTTGCTATAATTAATTTTTTCTCCTTCTCTCTGTTGGAATGTGTGTGATCAGCAAACTGCCATCATATGTCACATTACGTATAAAACACGTGTGTAAAACATGTATGTGTGTGATATTATGTATTAATGTTATAATGTCATTCTTTTTATGTCTTTAATTAGACTGTCAATTATACCTTACTGAAATGTTTAAAGAAGAATTATAATAAATTTTGTTTAAGACAAGTCATCTATTTCCATTACTTCGTGTTTTTATTTAAGTTTTTTCCTTCTCTTATAAATTCTATATTTTCTTCTTTCTATTTTTATATGATTGCAACTTAGTATCTCTCTCCTTTTTTCTCTTTTTTTGTTCTTTGTTTATTATATAAATATGAAATAATGAATTATTATACCGTGTAACTTTATCGGCGCAGAAAGGGCGAAAGCCTAGAAAAACAAGGAATCATCGCGGATGAGTTATGGAACTGCAAATATCTTTACGACAGCGCTTACCATCCCGATACTGGCGAAAAAATGCTATTAATTGGGCGTATGAGCGCTCAAGTGCCCATGAATATGATGATAACTGGCTGTATGATGACATTTTACAAGTACGTATTCAAAATTGTCGACATACATAAAATTATCGTGATAAGAGCATCGGGTACTTCGACCTCTTTGGTACTTTTTAACAAAATATGAAGACTAATCTTAAGCAATAGTAATGCGCAGTAATTTTCCGATCGCTGTATCCATCGATTTTTATATTTTTCGCAACAAAAACGACTGAATAAATATATGTTAACAAATAGTTTTCGATAACTTCAAATGTGATTATTTCGCGAGAGCAGTTACAAAGTCCACAATCAAAACATTCAAGAGACTGGAAAATTAGGATTATTACTTAGCGATTGGAAGATCGTTCGTTTACGATATTTATTAGCAGTCTATGTTGTTATCGAAAGACGTTTATAATTCTCGTAGGTCAACGCCAGCTGTAATTTTCTGGCAATGGATCAACCAGTCGTTCAATGCTATAGTAAATTACACGAACCGCAGTGGCTCGAGTCCGATTCCCACGGAAACGTTAGCGCGGAGTTACATCGGCGCTACCGGAGGCGCCGTGATAACGGCGTTGACCTTGAACCGTCTTGCTCAACGTGGACCACCGTTGGCAGGCCGGCTGGTACCATTAGCGGCGGTTGCGGCGGCTAATTGCGTGAATATTCCTCTGATGAGAATTACTGAACTCCAAAGTGGTATCGAATTGCAAACTGAGGACGGCACAAAAGTCGGTAACAGCAAACGTGCGGCGAAACAGGCAATCACATCTGTGACGTTATCACGAATACTTATGGCCTCTCCGAGCATGAGTAGGTTTTGCTGCGTTAGCTTTATTAATCAACCTTCTTAAATAGTATTTTTCAATCAATCGTATCTGAACTATATGTATGTGTAAGCAATTGATAAGCTTCTTCGTTCTTCGTTTATAAGCTAAAAGCCAATTACATTATCAGCAATTAACACTCGTTAGCTAAATTTTTTTCTATTTTTATATATTATTATATAAGCAAAAATTATACGGATAGCTAATACCATATAATTATTTACATAAATCTAAATTTTTATAAATAGACCTCATTTTCCTTGAAGTAATTAACGAAGTCGATAAAAATGTCGTGTGGATTTACAGATAATATAATGCAAAACATATTATTTTATTGTTACAGTATTGGCGCCGATAGTAATGAATTACTTAGATCGAAGGCAATTGTTGCGTAAGGCAAAGTGGGCTGCCGGACCAATTCAAGTTCTGATCTGTGGAGTCTGTCTCACTTTCGCGACACCGCTCTGCTGTGCTCTTTTCGCACAACGTGTCCCTATCTCGGTAAATCGATTGGAATCCGACGTGCAAGAACAAATACGTTCGCACGATCCCAATCTGGAAACTGTTTACTACAATAAGGGCCTTTAAATAATATGGGGCAGGATCCCCGCACGACCCGGATACTTTTATCAGTCCGATTCAAGGACGCAAATCTACTCTTGAAACTCAGGTATACACGAGACATTCCCAAACACAACATTCGAAAGCACAAATACATCATTAATTATCAATGGCTTCCAACTGTTATGTAAACAGTTTGTTTACGGGTGTGTGTTTTGCTGTATATAACTTATATTTCCGTAAATATAATCGATGGTAAGCTGAAAATTTACGGGAATATTATCGTACGAGAGTGTATTTAAATCTTTACAAAAATTCTCTAATTTTCGATACTTTTTTTAAAATTTTTATATAACATTAAAACATTTCTTTTGTTTATATTTTAACAAATCTAATATAAATTTATTTTGAGCTTTTTAGCGTTTTTAACTTATACAATCATAAAGAAAATTAAGAATTTCTCGAAAAATTCTTTAAATTTCGGAGATAAATCTTCCTGAATTTTTTTTTCATTTTTTCGAGCAAAAAATTATCTTGAAAATCCTTTTTAGATTTTTCCAAGCACTCTATCTACGATCTATAAACGAATTCTCTTAGCTGTATACGTCCAAAAAAATACATACATATCTTCCCTTCCACTCTGGCCTGCATACATATAATAAATGTTTCAAGATATATAAGAGATCCAGACTGTTAAGTGAGAAAGGATAACGACGACAATAAAATAAACAATTTAGTGTTCTGAATAAATTTTAATATATCGTATATTTTAATCTGCAACTGTGATTTGTCTATGTGTGATAGTTTAAGCAATTTTCGTGCAACTCAAAACAATAACTTCTGGTTTTTTCTCGAATCCGCCATCGATACGTTTTACTTTAGGAGGCGGCTTTATTTTACGACCGAATCTACCAGTTTTACGTTGCCACAATCCGCTCCTCGGTCGATTTCCTAATTCACGATTTTTCTGCGCGCTGCCAACCGGTATAGAATCATGTTCGATGTTCGATAGTCGACCGACTGTAGCCATACACGTTTCGTGCAAGCTAAAAAGCTTTTTGTTCGGCATTTGTATTACTACACGATCCTCCTCTCGCTTTACTATCGTTGCAACACTACCAGCAGCATGAATCAGAAACGCACCCAGTCCTGGATATTTCTCTATGCAATTAACTTGAGTTCCTACGAGTAAAGCACCGAGGGGATAGGCATCTCCCTCCGACGGCTTTACAGGATTACGCGGTATTCCTTGATGAGTACGTATTATGTCGCCCGGTTTCATGTTCTGGGTAGCTAAAATATATTTAAGTTCGCGTCCGCTACCAACCAACGCGACGAAACACGTTCTGCAACCGTCCTTGAAGACTTCTAGAACTTTCTCTTCCTTTGGTGGTTCATTAAGGTCTTTAGGTCCATCCCTGATCCAATTGATCCAGTGATACTTATGCTTTATACCACCCCCGATTCCTTTTACCGCTACTCTACCTGTTTCAATGATTTAAAAACGATCCATTTTTTTATTTTATATTTAAATCTCGCTTCAAATAAAGAAGATAGATGCTTCCAAATTTGCAATATTTGCAATATTTTTGCAAAGGAAATATTGATCGCAAGTAGAATATTTATTGCCTAATCTCGAATGTTGAAGATTAATCTTAACTTAAAATTTTTTTTCTAATGCTGTTATTATCCGAAATACCATTGCATAAAAAATTATTCTGCATATAAAGTTTATATAATTAATAATACATTAATTTTTCTCTCTCCTTCCTCCTCTCTCTCTCTCTTTCTTTCTCTCTAATTTATAACATAAACATGTATATTTCATATTATATCAGTATGCATCTATATAATATATCAAATTTATTTTTAATTATATAATAATTATATTTTTATTATATAATTTAATTATTTTATTAATGTGATAGATCGCCGATATGTACAAAAGTCTAATATTAACAGAAGCCGATGTGTAAGTTATCTATATTATCTTCCAGCAATTTCCTGCTTCGTCAACAGAGGTCAGACTTTCTTTTCATATTATCTTGCTTTGCAGTGTATATACATTTACACATTGATTATGCTTATCTCCATTAAATTTGTGAATAATAAGAAAATCAAATATTATATCAATCTAAGATGTAATAAAATGTGAGCTGCTGCAGCAATGATATTATCTCGCGTACCTGTGACAGGATCCCTGCCTGCTAAATTTGTAACCTTCAAAGGCTCAACCGTGTATTCATCCTTGAAATGGACAATTCTTCGAAAAGCTTTGCCATGTCCAATTTGTGGCAACTTTACGAGTTTCCATTTGTATCTTCTTGGTACTTGAGAGAACACTGAGATCGTCGAACTAAACAAATTAGATATTTGTTGGCCGAAAACGCGACACGCCAACGTTGTGGTAGACATCTTGATTTAAATGGCACTGTATCGAGTTTAAGTGATGCCATCTGTGAACACAATCTTGCCTGAATTTCAACGAAATTCTCTTTATCGATGGAAAGTAAGAAAAATTATTCGATAAAATTCGCTGCTCATTTCACGTACTTTAAAGCTTATATGCATAAACTTCACTTTGGAGTCTATATGCATTTATATACACTAAGCATAGTTAAAAAAACTTAATATTTAATTTTCATATACTTGGACAAATTGAAGATCCGATACCGCAAAATATATATCTTTATCTAGATTTTTGCTAAGAAAAAAAAGGTAAGTGTTTTTTTAACAAACTAAACAATATAAATCCATTTTTTAAATTTATCTTGAATGGCAAAGAATTTATCTTGAATCGTAAAGAATTAATGTATCTTGAAAAAATAATCAAAAATCTTAATATACGAAACAAATAATCGAAAAAGCGGAAGCAACTATCGGAGATTTATCCATATTTTTTACGTGAACTTGCTGTATACTATACTTTTAATAAATCAATTCAACAGCGCCTTATATAGTTATATAAATACGTAATTTAATTTAATCAGAATTTGTCACATCGTAGCGTCTTCAAAATTCGCGTCTCATATGAAACCACCGCGCAAAGTCGCACGATCAACGTACCTTATTGCGGCACTCGTCATAATGAGGACAAAGTTTAGTCGCGTCGCATAAGCGCGACGCGCCAATTAGTGGATGTGCCTTAAGATCTCGGCGCGTAAATCCCGCAAAGTGATAACGAATAAACGCTCGAATAACGTGCCGCGTTAATATCCCGCCGAAGACCGCTCGTGGAAAATGCGCGCAGCGTCCCGCATAGAGAGGAGTGAACGAACGGCGTGGAGGGGAACGCTTAATTGGTCCGGGGTAATTATTTTATTAAGTGAGAAGATGGCGGATGGAATGCTAAGAGAGAGCACGCTGGTGCGGTCTGCCGACTAGGGGGCGCCGACGGAAACGTCGCGACGGGAACGATAGGCAGAAAGAGGAGTGGATGGGCGAAGAGGCGACAGGGGGGGCAGACAGGGGGTGACTCTCTATGGAGAACGTTTAAATACCTACGTATCCACGGATGACTGTACCTCGGAGCGGCGTACGGCTTTCCGTATAAGTGAACCAGGCGGCCGCAACTTTGGGTCGTGTATGTACGTGTCCCTCACGTGCACGCGCAATTCTCACCGTCACGCACGTTCATGAGCCTGTCTCCCCGGTTTCCCTTCCGTCTCATCTCCCGCTGTCTTGCCGCGAGAGAGAAAGGCGGTGGCGAGAGAAGAACAGGCGCGAGATAAAGGGGGATACCGTACGCTTTTGCGCGCGCGTTCAGCGTCTCCGCGTTGGTCGTGAAGGAGGAGAACATCTATTACCCGGTACATAGACCAGGATGGGGGACGGAGGAGGTGGAGGTCTCGGAATCGTCCAGGGAGGGGTGCGGGCAAGAGTAGTCGAGCGGCAAATTGTCCGCCATCTTACCCACCTTATACCTTATCTCACACTCTCGCCCGTAACCACCCTTATCCACCCCTTCCTTCGCCGCGCTTTCCTCCAACCAGACCCTCTCACCCTACGCGCGCCAACCACCCCCCGTTGCCCTCCGCCTAGCCCACCTCTTCATCGTCCTCCATCCTCTCCACCCCTTAGTGCCGCTCTCTCCTCTCGTCCGCCCTTTCTCTCGGCAGCCACCGCCTCGAAAGCTTTAGATTACCTACCCCTTATAAGCGCTCGTGTTGCCCATTTATTACCACGACTCCCGCGACTACCACGACCGAGAGACCAACCACCCCCGCTTTCACCTCACGCTCTCTTTCGTCCTTCGTTTTCCACCCTTCATCTCTATTTTCTTCCTGCTACCACCTTCGATGTGTACCGGCCGTCTTACTTTCGTTTCTTCGTTCTGTTCCCAAGCACCACCGCGATCCTCTTTTTTTTTTTTTATTAACGCTTTAACGCTATCATTACATAACTACGCGTGCCCGCTTCTCGACTCGAATAACACAATTAGTTGAGTTTACAGAGAATCACTCTCTCGCCATTGTGCATTATACGTCTAGATTTAAGTGATCGAACAGTTCTCTAAATAAGCAACTGTTAGCTAATACTGCTCACATAGTTTATTTATTATTATCTGTGATTATAAGATAAATGATTGAAAAATCAATCCCTCTAATTCTGTCTCAGTTTTTTTTTCTTCTTCATTTTCCACCGTTTATTTCTGTGCTTTTGTTCTCCTACAAACACCTAGCACCCAACGTTTCCTTTGTTTCGTATCTTTACTCTTGACAGTCTCGAGTATCTCACACAGTCCTTATTACCTTTAACGTTACCATTACATATCCACGCTCGCGGTTTACGAGGAGAGACTCGAATAACACGATTAAGCGAGTTTACGGCGAATTACGTGTACTACGTCTATCCGAAGCTCACTACCGCTTCTATCTATTTAGAGGTGAGAACAATTTTCTTTAGAATGTGAAAACCGCAAAGTGGTAACTGTATCGAGAAGTTGCGCGTATTATGCATTTCCTGTTAATGATTCTAATTTCTCCTGAAAATTATAATTCATATCTCTTTCTATATTTAGCATTAAATATGTCGGATTTTATATTATGTCTATAATTTGAAAAACGCATACGATATAAACGAATGAAATAAGACAACGCAATGAGAATTAGATGGCTACATTTAGCACTAAATGTGCGTTGAAAATTCAAATGTATTTTAATTTCTGGCGCAACGAAAACTTGCCTATTTATTTTTCAACCGTGGAATAATTAGCTCATATATGCTCGTATCACGAAAAGTCATACTATTGTTCGCATCATGAGCAACACACTCACGTGCTATTTTAAATTACAATGTTAAACTGTATACATTTCAGAGGATTAAAAATAGCGAAAACTAAATTGTAACACGATATTTTATATAACGGTACAAAGACATTAATTTTTTATATGTAAATATCATTGAGATAAAGTTTGAAATTATGCTAAAGCGTAATACGCAACACACCATGCTCTAAATTCGCCTCTTTATATTTAAATAATGCGTAAAATTATGACGTTTTTAAATACGGCACAACTCGTCCTGCAATAAAAATCACGCGAGCTATCTTATATTGATCGTAAGCAGTATTTAATGCGTACGGCTCGGTGATCTTCACACGTGATTTTCGACCGTTAAAAAATAACCCTGATATTAGACACGCGAGGAAAGTTCGAGGAGGCGAGAAAAAGCCTGAAGGAAAAAAAGCCGAGAATGGCGGTCTCGGTCGATGAAACGTTTCCGCAGGGACGAGTTGGAATGAGCCGCGCGCGGAA